TATATATATACTGGCATGACAGCAAAACTTACAATTGTTTGTAAGGTTTGGAAATATTTCAACGCAAATAAACAGAACTGAATGATTTGCAAATTTCACAAATCTGTATTTTATTCACAGTGGGTCAAACTGAGCGGATCCATTGGTGAGCTAACGGCTAGCCTTTTCACTAACTTTGAAAACATTAGTGGATTAATCAGCTTCCACTAAATCAGGTTTTTCTAACTTTAAGTGTGCTAACAGCTAACTAATATCAACAGGTTTGTGTCAGTCCCACCTGTCTTCAGCTGCAGGTGGAGAAAGACGTGTGTCAACGCCCGGTTTAAAAGCCTGCCTCTCTGATGGTATAGGGGTGCCTCTAATATGAGCAGCTTTCTTATGTGTAGATGCAACATGAATGCAAAAAAAGGAAAGCGGTTTTAAGGACAACATGTGCCCCCATCCAGGTGACACTTTTCAGGGAAGGCCTTGCACATTTCAGCAAGACATTGTTTGTTTTTTCCACTGCCTGTTCTCAGAGTATAATCACTCCCATCACTTTTTTTTATTTAATTCTTGGAGACCAAAAGCATGTTGCTTTATTTCCACCAGATCTCCATTTCTACCCCCCCTCCTTTTTGGAAGTGATGCCTGCATTAAGGCTGCAGGGGTGCGGGGTGCTGGCTCACAAAGGGCACGAGTCGAGGCCGGCAGATGGTGACCTTTTGCAATATATTACCACGAACCGCGTGAACCCTTCCCACGTGAGACTCAGGGTTCACCAGGTTCATATTAGGAAAACTGAACGTATTGTTAGTGGTTTGTAATAATTTATACAGCAGCTCAATGTCTGCAGCTTTTCCACAGTCAGTGCAAAACGTGTAAAATAGGCCAACTCCATCCCCGAGGTCTCTCTCTCTCTCTCTCTCTCTCTCTCTCTCTCTCTCTCTCTCTCTCTCTCTCTCTCTCTCTCTCTCTCTCTCTCTCTCTCTCTCCCCTCCCCTCGTGCGGGTGGGAGCGTGATTTCGGACTCGGGCACGAACAGCTGTAGTAGTCGTGACGGGCTCGTCGTCGGGAGCGCGCCTCGGCGTCACGTCAAGAAGCGACGTTTTCAGCACCAAGGAGAGAGCAGCTCACGGCGGCCGTGCTGCAGCTTTTAGGCACCGTCTGAAAAGATCACACCGGGGAAGGAGCGCGCACAGCCAGGGAGGGATAAACTGTTTAAATATGCTTTAAAAAAATCAAAATTGGGCAAATAAACGTGTGCACTAACAAACGACGTTAACTCGACGGATTTTAAAGGCTGTCGCGAATTTATTACGTATTTTTCGCATTAGCGGGGTGAAGTCATTTGCTGACAGTCCCTTACAGCTCTGTCACGAGCCAGAAAGGCGCTTTTGCGATCGGAGGGGGGAGGGGCAGTGTTGAAGCGACTTTTCAGCCGACATGTTTTCCAAAAAGCGACAAACCAAGAGACTTTTAGAAGCTTCCGCCTGATTTTACAGCAGGATATAATTATTTACTGTAATGTTTTATTTCCTCTGGTACTGTCTCTGTAAAATAAATCTCTGGACCCGGCTGTGTTTGACTCAGGCTGCAGATTAAATTTAAGATCCTCACTAATTTAATTTATGCAATGTGGATCTAATCATTGAAGTCATAAAATTATTTTTATTTCATTGAGTTGAATTACAGTTCTAAACATATTTAGTGTTTTTCTCTCCCCCTCCTTCTCATCTCTCCTATAGCTCAGATCACAATTATTTTTATTTTTTCCCTTCAACTTTATTTGTCAAAACAACATTTACAAGGAGACTCATGGAACAGTATGAATTACAGAAGATAAACAACTAGATAAAGCAAAAATTAAGAAAAAAATAAGCAAAATTAAAACAAGGGTTTAGGGGTCCATAAATACATTAAACATAAAACAGATTTCAACAGTTTAATAGCAAGTTTATTGTCAGAGTTTTAATTGTTCGAATATAGTGTTTAATTTAATTGTTAAAAGCAGTAAAACAAGGTTTCCTTTCAAAATATTTGGAATAGTGTATATGATATTTAGCTAAAACCAGTAATAGATTAATGAGAAATTAAGTCCAATTAGTGAGACCCAGATCACGTGATGACGTCACCTTGCGACTTCTAGCTACTTTTAGGACAGCCAATGGCGACTGCAGGGGGGAGGGGTAACAGAGAGCGGAGGGACACTGACGGACGCGCGAGAAGCTAAAAAAAAAAACCTAGTAAAAGTAGTTAGTTAAAAAAATAGTTCCTGTTTACGTTTGGAGCGGCATAAAGAAGGCTGAAAGAAGCTGTGACGAAAGAAGATTCGTGTGTAAACAATGAAAGCTAGCTATTAAAATATAAAAATGTTTAAACAAAAGAAGAAGAATCTTGTTAGCCAAATAAAAAGAGACCTAGCTAGCAGCTAGCTCCGTCCGTAGATACAAAACTGAAGACACCTGGCGTGTGTGTGTGTGTGTGTGTGTGTGTGTGTGTGTGTGTGTGTG